TGAGATATCTTAGAATCCTCTTGGCAGCTTTTAGATGAGATTCCTTTGGACTGGATTGAAATCTAGCGCATAATTCCACACTAAATACGATATCAGGTCTACTAGTTGTGAGATACAAGAGTGAACCGATGATACCTCTGTACATGGTTTCGTTCACAGGAGAACCAGGTTCATCCATGTCCAGACGAGTGGCAGTGGCAATAGGAGTATCAATGGTCTTTGAACTTTTCATCTCAAATCTCTTTAGGAGCTATTTAATGTACTTTTGCTGACTTATCATTATTCCCTTAGGGGTTTGCTTAACTTATAACCCTAAGAAAAAATTCAATTCCCTCATCATGCTCATTTCAAACTAGCTTCCCATAAGCTTTGCAAACGCTTCACACAAGGAATCATTTGTTGCACCAAAGATGATGTTGTCAACATAGACTTGCACAATGAGCAGGTTCCTCCCCCGTATCTTCAGAAATAGGGTGTTGTCGATTTTTCCTCTTGTAAAGCCATTTTCAAGAAGGAACTTGGACAACCTCCTATACCATGCACGAGGGGCCTACTTCAGTCCATATAATGCCTTGTCAAGTTTTAATACATGTTCAGGATGCTCATGACACTCAAAACTAGGTGGTTGTTTGATGAAAACTTCTTCCTTTAGATATCCATTCAAAAATGCACTTTTGACATCCATTTAGAACAATTTGAATTCCATATGAGATGCAAAGGCAATGAGGATTTTGATGGCTTCCATTCGAGCAACTGGGGCAAAAGTCTCATCATAGTAGATCCCTTCTTCTTTATTGTACCCTTGCACTACTAACCTGGCCTTGTTCCTTGTTGTATTCCCAAATTCATCAAGCTTGTTTCTAAATACCCACCTAATTCCTATTACAGTTCTGTCTGAGGGTCGAGGAACCAGGTGCCATACGATGTTCCTCTAAAATTGATGGAGTTCATCTTGCATAGCAGTAAACCACTCAGCATCTTTCAATGCTTCCTTGATATTTTTGGACTAAATTTGAGAAAGGAAAGTTGAGAAGGCAAGTGAACTTCTTGTCTTTGATCTGGTTTGAATCCCAAAGTCAAGAGGAGTGATCACATTTTGGAGAGGATGTGAACTTTTGTGCTTCCAGTTAGACACCTGAATCTCATTGTGAGAAGATCCAGGTTCAACTGAATGGGATCCATTTTGGCATCAGCAACTATGTTCTCTGCTTCAAATGTTGTGAAGTAGGAACCAGGTTCCTCTGTATCAGCTGGAGATTCAGCTGCATCATCTTCATTGGATTCCTTGACTTGACTCATCATGTCAGCCTTTCCATTTGCCATATCAATGACTTCACCAGGAACCTTTTGACTGCTTTCCGTCTTGATCAACCTTATCATGTGAATCTTTTCTACATAAGTGGTGTGATTCATCAAAGATCGCATGTATGCTTTCTTCAACACATTGAGTTCTTTTGTTGTAGACCTTGTATGCTTTGCTTTGTGATGGATAGCCAAGAAAGATTTCTTCATCACTGTTGGAATCAAATTTTCCCAGTGCTTCCTTACCATTATTAAGAATGAAATATTTTCAGCCAAATGTTCTCAAGTGGGTTAGCTTGGGTTTCCTCCCGTTCAGCAGTTCATATGGGGTTTTGTTCAAGAGAGACCTGATCATGCACCTGTTCACCAAGTAGCACGCAGTGTTAACTGCCTCTGCCTAAAAGCCTTTTGCTACGCCACTGTCAATTAGCATAGTTCTTGCCATGTCTTCAAGAGTCCTATTTTTCCTCTCCCCGACACCATTTTGTTGGGGTGTTCTGGGAGCTGAAAAATTGTGACTTATACTATTTTTCAGCACGGAATTCGTCGAATTTTGTATTGTCGAACTTGGTGCCATGATCAGACCTTATACTTACAACATTGTGGCTCATCTTCACTTGAATATGCTTTACGAATGCAACAAAAACTGAAAAGGTTTCATCCTTGGTTCTGAGAAACAGGGTCCATGTGAATCTGGAGTAGTCATCAACTATGACAAAAATGTACTTCTTTTCTCCTCTACTTGGCACCCTTATAGGTCCACATAGATCAATATGAAGGATATCAAGTGGCCTTAAGGTGCTTACTATGTTCTTGGGCTTGAAAGAGGACCTGACTTGCTTTCCTTTTACACATACATCATGCACCTTGTGATCTTTGAATCTTGACTTGGGTAGCCCACGGACCAGGTCCTTCTTGACCAACTTGTTCAGCAATGAAAAGCTTGCATGTCCCAATCTTCTGTGCTACAGCTCAACATCATCATCAATAGTACTCAAACATGTATGGTCCCCATTGTGTAAAGACTCAAAATCAGCAACATAGATATTTTTGAATCTTTTTGCCAACAGAACCACTTCACCACTCATGGGATTTGTGATTGTGTAGGTTTTTTATAAGAATTCCACTTTGTTTCCTTTGTCTCATATTTGAGAGACACTTTACAAAGTGATTTCAGAAAATGGTTCGCAGGAATGGAGGCATTCCAAAAAGGGGCAGCTCTAACAAACCAAAAGGTTATGACTTGTGTCATAAATGTTGAAAGGCAGGATATTTCATCAAAGACTATCCTTTCCTCAAGCAAGACCAGTACAAGCACAACACAGACAAAGCAGCTAAGAGGAACCCAGTTCCTGACAAGAGATTCAAGAGAAAAGATGCCGCTGGCAATGTTGTGAAACAAACTCTTGCTGGATGGGGAGATTCTTCAAGTGAATCTGTGGAAGACGATGAACAAGGTGACACCTCCATGATGGAAGTTGAAAGCGAAGCAATTAAATATGACTCTATCTTTGCCCTGATGGAAAAATCTAACGATGACGAAAAAGATGATGATGATGAGGTAAACTTTCTAGACGTTCAAAGAAATATGAAGTCTTACTTTCAAAAGAAGCTTATATCCTTGGCCAATATTTTAATTGATACTTATCATAATCTTATAAATTATAAAAATATGTTAACTGTAGAACTAGGAGAGGTAGAACACGAGAGAGATGATCTGGTAGTTGTAGTGGTTGATCTAAAATAAACCATTGAGGTTCTAAAGAGAGAAAAATATGTTCTAATTGAAAGAATTGAAAACATAGAGCATGAGAGAGATGACATGTTGGTAGTAGTTGTGGATCTAAAAGAAACAATTGAGGATTTAAAAAAGGGAAACAGTTCTGGGAACATCCAAAAGGGAAAAAGAGTTGCAAGTGAGGCACACATTAAGCTTGAAAATGAACTCAAATTGGTGAAATCTAGTATGTGTGCTGAACTTGAAAGAAACAGACAACTTCAAGAAGATCTAGGCAGAGTTAAAAATGACCTAGAAAAATCTCTAAAATGGACCTAGTCCTCTGATACAATCACTGCCATGTATACAAGCAATGGTGGGAACAAGCAGGGAGTCGGGTTTCAAAAGGAAAAGACTCCCTACAATCCATATAGCAAGTATGTTACTGTCCCTGATAACTGGCTTTTCACTCACTGTGGAAACACTGGCACTTTAAAGAAAACGATAAGGCTAGAATTCAGTCCCAACAGAAAAACAAGGTTTTTTTGAAAAGGTAACAACTGCTAAAGAACCTGGTTCCTCTACTAAAAAAACGTATAATGCCTGCTTTGATAAAAAAAAGTTTAATTCGCCCTTTTCCTCACTACAAGGGACCCAAACTTGTTTGGGTTCCTAAGTCTAATCCTTGATTTTCTTGTGCAGGGAGCAGCGAAAGAAAGCAGCCAAAATGGTATATGGATAGTGGCTGCTCTAAGCATATGACTGGAAGCATTGATGATTTCCTTTTACTCAAAGCCTTGCAAAGGGAACTGATGTCCATCTGTACCCTTTATCGTCTCTTTGACTCTAGTTGTCGGAACTTGTGGCAGACTTGAGACTTGTAGTTCTTGAGCACGTTGAGGATGCGTAACAGGTTCCCGATCTAGTTCTTATCATAAAGTTTGTTAGATCATCAAGATACAAAAAGGCACATAACTTATCAAAAACTCTTGCGATCAAGAATAATTCTGGCGAATTAAAAAATTCTTGCCAAGCAAACTTTAAAATTCTAGCATGAGGCTTTTTTCTTCTTCCAAAACTTGTGTTACTGGAGTCAAAAAGGTCAATAATGGCACTGAAGTGTTTTATTTCTGTCATTCAATGAGGTACTGTCGATTCAATTATTTTAAATAAAAAGTACATGGTAATATTTTCTAACGATCGAGAGGAGTGTTATCTTACTAAGCTATAGGCGAGATGCTTAGTAGGCGTTTGGACATAAGAATTGTAAAATTCAAAAAAATAGTGAAAATATTTTTCAAGTGAAAATGGTATTTGAAATTTAGAGTTGTGTTTGGACATAAATTTCAGTTTGGGTTGTTTTTGAAGTTTTGTGAGTGATTTGAGTGAAAATTTTGAAAAATAACTTTTTCGCAATTTTTCAAATTTTCGAAAATTTCCAAAATGCATCTTCAAGTGAAAATTGAAAATTTTATGAACAAACACTGATTTCGGGAAAAAACGAATTTTTTTTGAAAAAATCTTCAACCAAATTGTATGTCCAAACGGGTCCTTAGTATGCTTAGTTATCTCAATTCTTTAAAAAGAGTATAGGTCGCTACTTCACCAAGTGTTCTTTTGGAAAAATTTCAGGTAGGAAATAGGCGAGACCTGTATTTCAAGTGTTATCTAACAAATTTCAATAGTTTCAATTCTTTGTTAAACGTCACGTCCATTCAAACTTTTGCTACATAAATTGAAAGTATGGAGTATTCATTCTGAACCAAGGACTAACTAACATGTTAATAAAAAAATCTACATTCTTTGACTTTAATATAGTTAAATGTTAGGAGTGTATGTAATAAAAATGTCTTATATTAGTTTGGTATAAACTAGGTGTACGTAAATTCTTTTGCTTCAGTCTGCATGCGGGCTAACACAGGAGAAAATCAGAAAAGAGATAATTATCAATCGGCTAAAAGTTGAACTGATATCAAAATCATAAAAGTACTGCAGGAGACATCTATAATGTAACAGCATTGTCATCAAAACAAGTAACAAAAACAGAACTTAAATACGTAGAGGAGTAAGTTCTTTGGTACTAAACTTATAAGAAATTAATAATCTATTCGTCGAAAAGACCGAAAATAGCATCATCCTCAGATTCTTCAGCTTCATCATCTTTCTTATCCTGTTTAGTCTCAACAACTTCACCATCACCTTGAGAAGCACCAGATTCAGCAGCTGCTGCAATTGCAACAGTAAACTTGCTAGGATCCTGCAATAGTTTGGGCAGAAATGCAAAAAAAGGTTCAGCATTTATAGAACAAATACTAACACAGGAAGAAAAATGATTTAGTTGATATCAAATAATATAAAATATTTTATCATAGACACAGCAATATAACATAGAATTTGCAATTTAAGATTAGCCTCTTTAGAAAGACTAGTTTTGTAAAGGACATGACTTTTGAAACTAAATTTTATGTAGTATAGACTAAGCTTTTGGCTACAAAAATAGAGAACAAGAAATATACTACTACTAAACAAGTTAAAAATAACCGTGCCAAAATCATACTTATGTTTGAATCTCTATAAAAACACAAATAAATGTTTTCATTTCAAAATTTTATACTACAAGAAATATATTACTACCATCTTTTTTAATGAGATTAAAACAATATAATAATCATTGGTGCGACAAATAGAATCAGGTCACTTATAAAGTAACCACAAGTAAAGCATTAATTAGTAACCTAATAAAAGTTATAACTAATTAGAGCATGCTATCACATGTTAAAATTTATTTATACACATAGGCGGAGCTAGTCTACAGTGTACGGGTTCGGCTAGGAAACTAATTAAATATGCATAAATATTTAATTGCAAACCCACTAACTAAGACGAACAATGGGTTTTGTGCTAAATTCAGAACTCATTCATAAACTTCAAATTCTGGCTTCGCCTCTGTTTACACCGTCACTAACTTAAATTCATATAAAAAGGAGTTAAGTAATTACCTTGAGATACTCTTTCACTTGATCAGCTTGTGGATATGAATACTCAGTTTCAACAGTAACAGCCAAAACACTCTTGTAGCCTTTGACAAACATGTAAGGAGCAGCTGCAAGTGTAGGGTAAGAAACAGCCAAAGACAAAGTAGTGACCATTGAAACTCCAGTTGCAAACTTCTCCATAAGATCATCTTCAGTTAAATCAAGAACTTCTGGGCTAAACACTGATCCATTGTCATAAACAGAAACCACAACAAGACCATAAGAGAATGGCCTTATTCCAAGCTTGGCCAATAGAGCTGCTTCTGATGATCCAACTTTGTCACCTTTCTTGATTAGCTCCACTGGTGTTATGATTTCAACTGTTCCCTTGTTGATCTTAGTAGGAATGTTTAGAACCTATAAAGTAACAAATTGTAGAAATTATTGACATTTTATACTAAAAAAACTGCTCTATACGAATCTAGACCCCACGCATAAAGGGAGGTTAGTGCACCGGACTGTCCTTTTTTACTCTTGAATCGATTGTTAATGAATGTACAACGAAGCAATATCTTGGCTGACCATCGATTTTAAGAAATAAAGAAAGATTTTTGAAATTTGTGCTTGTAAATATGCTATAATATTTGTGTGGCTTTAAGATCTTTCACGAAGGAAAATAGGAAATATAAAACCTAAATTAAATTACATAATGAGAAGGTATGAGATAAAAAACCTGGAAGAAGGAAGTTTGAGATGGATCCAGTCCAGTATTGCCAGTAGGGACAATGACATCAACTGGAGCAACTAAGCCAACACGTGCAGGAGCTCCAACCTGTTTGTAATGACAACAATTAATAAAAGGACCATAGAATAAATACCTACTATGAGATTTAAATTTAATGTGTTAAAAAAATTTAAAACTTTAGATTTATACACATATCTATGGTATAAACAAAAAAGACGGATGCAGGTGAACCCAAATTCAACATAATGTGCTTCTAACTACATGGCAATTGATGAGGAGAAATAAATCAAGGTAGAATTTTTTGAAACACAAAACATCAACGTGTAATCAAATTGAGACAATATGAAATTGAAAAGCTACTTATTATGATATTTAGCATAAGAAAAACATGAGGGATTGATGAATATAAATAATGTAACTATATATTGCTATGATACCTTATATCATATGGAACCTATTGTACTGTATCGTATTTGTATTGTATTGTTAAATTTAACAAAAAGTGGTGTGGTCGCATTGTTACCTTATTTTTTTCCTCTCGTCTTGCCTTACTTACTACATTAAATAACTTTTTTTATAATAATACTACCCCGTGCCCCCTTTTTTGTAATCTTTTATGTTTATTCTTTATATTATCGGTATGTGATATAATGAAACAACGGTAAGCGATACAATCTATCCAAATATTGTATTCATCAAAACAACATAGTATAATATAGTAAAATACAATACAATACAATATATTATACAATACAATAACAAGGAGAAAACCATCAAATATAGAATAATGTAATACCTTGTATTTTGCGACTTCTTCCTTTATTTCCTTCAGATCACCCTTCGTAAAGATCAAACCAACGTTGCCCTAATATTTGACAAACGAACAAAAGGTTAGTACCTTAACAATAAATCAATGGATTCAATGGAACAAAACCAAAAGCTGACACTGAAAAGAATAGAAAGCATAAAATCGAATTTTTTTCTCAGATTTAGTAATATATATTGTGAGGGATTGAAAAAAAAAAAAAAAGCAGCCCGGATGTTCGGGGTTGGACCGCACGCCAAGAGTGTGATGTAGTCAGCTTACCCTAATGAAGTGTTAATGGCTGATTTCACAGCTCGAACCCGTGACTTATACACGAAAACAATTGTACAATTAAAAATAACTTATGAACTTTAATTTATTGCTAGTTTGAAGGCACTTACAACAAGGAGAGGGATGAGATTAAGAAAACCCTCATTGCCAGTTTTTTCTGCATGAATCCTTACAGATCTTTTCATCATAGTATTTTTCCCCATAAGAACAACAGATTCTCCTCTTAAACCTTTACGAATGTTCTGCAACTGTGTCGACCCAACATTATCAGCGTTAACGATCAAAATCTGGTTGTACAAATCAAGATATTTGCACAGTTTTTGGTCGTAAGCAACTTTTTTCTGCGTCTTTGTTTGTTTCACGGCCATTGCTAAAACTCTGAGAGAAAATTCCTGAAGAAACTTCTGTAGAAAAAGAAGAAATATGGGCTTCCTTGAGAAGGGAACCCTAATATAGTAGTGTAACCGTGGAAGTAAGGAAACCCTAAAATGTTTTTTCTTTCTTTTTTTCTACGACTTGTCAATTCTTTCTTTAGTAAATTTTTTCTCTCCTTATTTTTTGGCAATTTGTACAAGCCATTGCAGTTACAAAATAGGATTCGTAATCAAAAAGTCAAATAAATGAAATCTTTTTTCCTCTTTTACTCGGAATGCTCTTCTCGCTCAATAATTTTTTTTTGGTGTAAAGAAAAATATTAGTATTAATCTCCAACCAACCAAATATACATTCAATTCAAATCTGTACAGACTAGAGGCTAGTGCAAAAATCTCCTGACTAATCGACTCCCTCTGTGTGCTATACAATTCCTCCATCCATTTTTGCTATCCCTACTCTCTCTTGTGATAATTTTTATTTTGTTTCAGAAAAGGGGTAGGTTTGTTAGCTTAGCTTGTATTATTAACGTAAAAGATGGACCATTTCTCATGTTAGGAAAACATATATAAACATAAATGGTCTTAATTGTATATAATGGTAACAATAAGTATTATAAAAGGATTCGATTTTTTAAATTTATGGTAATCATCTAATACCTTTCCCATATCAAATAGAACTCTAATAAATATAGAAGGTCTAAACTAGGCAAATTTTTGTTCTCTTAACATATATATCTCGAGTAAAATAGTGTGGCTCAGACAAAAAAGTTGATCCTCTTCTTCTCCTCCTTTTACTTAATTGCTAACTAGAAGAGTTCATCCACGGTCGGGTATGTGAAATCAGTTGTATTTCATCAATCCTTAATTCGTTCAATTTATTATTTTTGATTCTTAATTGTTTTTTATTCCTACTGTTTAAGCTGAATTAAAAGAAAATTTTTCTTATAGATTACATTAAAGTAATATTACAAGAATTATTTTGAACCAATGTCTGAAGTTGGAGCTCAAACTTCAACTTTAGAAGTTGTTAGACATAGAAGGACGAGAGATGTGTTATTCTTCAGGAAACCTCGTCCTCCATTCAAGAATGATCCTCCACTTGAATTCCCAAAGTTGAATCTACAACTGAAGAATAACGTGATCTCAAAGATTACTACAGAATCTACAGCTACTGAATTTAGTAGCGCCGATGATGAATGTGTGTTGTTCAATTTTGGGAATGATTATGGATTTCAAAAGGCCCTTCAAATATTGGATGAAAAGATTACATCACATTGTCCATATAGAGACTCGTCACAAGAAGATATGATCAATGAGTTTCTGCAAAACAACATTTTTGATTAATTCTTGATACCTAAGTTAGTATTAGAAATTAATTGTTTCTGTTCTGAATTCAATTATGAATGTACAGGTTTTATTCCTTCTTCTTAATTCCTAGATGCTTTATAAAATATCAAGATACACAAGCGAAGTTAGGCTTTGGCGTGTCCTTCATACCCGTATGGTGAAGTTCGAGTTGATTTTAAAGTAGCTAAACTTGCAAAAACAAAAATTAAATTAAATTCCGGTTATGTCTTAAATAGGGGTCATACGTAAGCTTGTATTTCCTTGTTTTTAACACACACACACAAATAAAAAATTGATAGGAAATCGAATTTTTTCATTTTATATATTATACCATCTTGACAACATCACCAACAGATATTAAGCTTCCCTTTCCTTTTTTTTTTTTTACACAAAATATATATAGGAAATAAAACTGATATGCAAGCCAAAATTTTCAGTTTATATATTATAATCTGCTTGGCAAAATTTTCAGAAAATTAGAACTCCTTTTTGAAAAAAAAAAAACGTGCTTATTTTGAAGAATAAGTATTTTTGAGTAGTAGAAAAATTATTTTTATTGTTGCAAGGAGACTGAAATTAAAGTGATAATATGCAATCAAAGAATTAAAGTTAGATAGAAGAAAATAACCAAAAGAAAGAGAAGGAAAGAGAAAGAAATTCAGTTCTTTGATTAAATAGTTCACATTACAAATTTCATTATTTGCAAGATGAAATAGCAAAATAGAGCAAATACATTCATTACAAACAAAATAAATTCAACCACAAGAAACAAAATAAACAATTATAACACTTAAAATCTTCCCACAATATAAGCCCAGCCCACTAAGTAGCAACACTGTGGAGAACAACAGTCTCAACTGTAAGCCCAGGCCCAAATCCAAAAAGCACACCCCATTCAAGCCCTTCACCAGTAGTTCCCAAACCTTCTTTTGCAGAGGCTTTCCTCATTTCATCCAAAATAAACAACACACAAGCACTAGACATGTTGCCATAGTTACTTAATACTTTTCTTGTAGCCTTTAGTTTCTCTTGCTTTAGGCCCAATTTTAGTTCAACTTGGTCCAAAATTGCAGGCCCACCAGGATGAGCAATCCAAAATAAAGAGTTCCAATCAGAAATTCCCAAAGGTTGGAATGCTTCCACAAGGCTTTTCTCAATGTTTTTTGAGATTAGCCCAGGAACATCTTTGAGTAAGTGGAATGTAAGCCCAACTTCACGAAGGTGACCGTCGATAGCGCCTTCGCTATCGGGGAGAAGAGTTTGGGCTGCAGAGACAAGCTCGAACAAAGGCCTCTCGACCTCTGGAATTGGATCAGAACCTATAATGACCGCGGCTGCCCCATCACCAAAAAGGGCTTGCCCAACTAAACTATCCAAGTGGGTGTCATTGGGTCCACGAAACGTGACAGCGGTGATCTCTGAACAAACAACAAGGACTCGAGCGCCCTTGTTGTTTTCGGCCAAGTCCTTAGCCATCCGGAGTACCGTGCCACCGGCAAAGCAACCTTGTTGGTACATCATGAACCGCTTGACCGATGGACGGAGCCCGAGTAGCTTAGTGAGTTGGTAGTCACACCCGGGCATGTCTACACCACTAGTTGTACAAAAGACCAAATGAGTAATTTTGGACTTGGGCTGGCCCCATTCTTTGATGGCTTTTTGGGCTGCCTCTTTGCCAAGTTTTGGCACTTCAACCACCACTATGTCTTGTCTAGCATCAAGGGAAGGTGCCATGTATGCACAAATATTAGGATTCTCTTTCAAGATTTCCTCTGTTAAGTGCATGTACCTTTTCTTAATCATTGATTTTTCACCTGCGAATTTACCGAAAGATATGTTAGGAAATCAATAAATCATAAACTCAAAGGTTATACGAATCAAACTTTAGAAAAAATAAAGGGCAACCATCACTTTTAGCCCGCTGCCATATATATATATATATATATAATTTTTTCGGTTATTATTTTGAGAGCAGTTATACAGTGTCGTTTTTGTTTTCCCAAAAGTAAAAATAAACTGTAGAACGTGTCCAGTTTCAAATTATCCCATCTTGACAGATTATTTTCTCCCAGCCACGTATTGTCTTTTGTTTCAAATATATTAAAACTTTACTAGAAGCTTCTTTCTCATGTAAAAGTAGATCGACAGAAAAGTTAGGCTTATAGGTGTTTAAAGTACTCGAATTGAATACTTTGTGTTGATTCTAGTGAAAACGTTCTCCTTTTTGGGCTGAAAGTGAATGCTAACTGAAGTCCAAAGTTGGATACTCATCCCTATATTTAAGTTAAAGTAACTAATCCTGTATAAAAGTAAAATTTATGCCAAATTATCATGACCTTGTTTTTATCAAGGTCAGTGTCCCTCTTGTTGGAGGGAGAAAAGGGAAATAGATAAGAATTTAGGCATAAAATATATCAGAAATTTCAAACCATTTGGACAAATTATTATATTTAAAATTGTCTAAGCTCAATGTTAAGCAAGAATAACATGCATGTGTTGTATCTTATCTCAACTTATTAAGGAAAAGTAACATAGAGTTTAGTCAAAATATCCTAGAAAGCATCTCACATGGGATGCTATATTTAAGGAACCTACTAATCCGAAATAGAGAACAAAAGGTTGAGTTAATAATATTGAGTTGGAACCATTAGTCTACAACTCCAACATAAAAAGTAAATAATACTGATAAAAGAAATGAAAAAAAAAAAAAGGAGTATTGTGAAATTTCAATTAAGTGGGGAAAAACTCAACATAAAATTGAATGAATAACAAAAGGTAAGAGAATTTTATCTTACACATGCGCTTAAATTTCTCCTTAAGCTCAACCTTATGCTCGCTATTAGTGATACGAAAATAATAATCAGGATAAGTGCTTTGATCAACACAGTTGGAAGGTGTGGCTGTTCCGATAGCCATGACCGTGGCCGGACCCTCGGCACATTGCGCCCTACGAAATTCCTCGACGGTCACCATTTTCGCCGGAAAAAATGATGGACGATTTACTAGGGTTTTCAAATGGCTAGTGATAAGCTTAAAGATAGTAGTACGTGATAAGTGTCTATGGGGATTGTTAACTTATTTATATGAGAAGCTCAAGAGGAGAATGGTAGATAGAGATCACGTGCGTCAACAAGTAAGAGCACGTGACCATCCTTTTTATTTTCCTTTTCAACTCTTCTCTTAGCAAACCTTCTACACAAATAATGATTGTTTTTTCAATAATTAGCTAGCTACCTACTTCTCAAGATCAAAGGTCTTAGATTGTTTGTCAATTTGTTGAATCAAATGAACTGTGTTGATCATTCTTACGTAAGATTTCTATTACTTGTAACCATTTGAAGAAATTGAAGCTTTGGACAGAAGTTTGACACGTAACACTAAATCAAGAGCTTAGGGGTAAAATGTTGATATTAGAGAAATCAAATATATCTTCTTATTACGATTTTTAAAAGTAAAGAATATTTTTTTGAGAAATTAAGAATTTTGAGTATGTATAACAATAATACAATACATTTTAGAGTAACTTTTGGAAATATAAATTATTTAATCAATATTTAAGTTTACACTAAAACTTGGAATGTTTTGGCTTTCGTATTCCAAATTAACTCACATTCTTTTTAGTACCGAAAGACTCAGACACAAAGTGTCAAAACAATGAATGCATCACGAGCGTCACATTATGTGTTTTAACATTTTTAGTCATACATTGTTTCTAAACTGAGGCGAATTCATGATTTAAATTTTATAGGTTCAACTTTTAAGATTTT